ATCTCGGCCAGTTATATGGTAATTAGTGCTGCTATAATTGGATCTGGTTCCATGTGTCACAGTTACTGGCCAGACCAGGGTTAGATCCCGGCCAGTTATATGTTAATTAGTACTGCTAGTATTGCATCTAGTTCCATGTGTCACGGTTACTGGCCAGACCAGGGTTTGATCCCGGCCAGTTATATGGTAATTAGTACTGCTAGGATTGGATCTGGTTCCATGTGTCACGGTTACTGGCAAGACCAGGGTTAGATCCCGGCCAGTTATATGGTAATTAGTACTGCTAGGATTGGATCTGGTTCCATGTGTCACGGTTACTGGCAAGACCAGGGTTAGATCCCGGCCAGTTATATGGTAATTAGTACTGCTAGGATTGGATCTGGTTCCATGTGTCACGGTTACTGGCCAGACCAGGGTTAGATCTCGGCCAGTTATATGGTAATTAGTACTGCTAGGATTGGATATGGTTCCATGTGTCATGGTTACTGGCAAGACCAGGGTTTGATCCTGGCCAGTTATATGGTAATTAGTGCTGCTATAATTGGATCTGGTTCCATGTGTCACGGTTACTGGCCAGACCAGGGTTAGATCCCGGCCAGTTATATGGTAATTAGTACTGCTAGGATTGGATCTGGTTCCATGTGTCACAGTTACTGGCCAGACCAGGGTTAGATCTCTGCCAGTTATATGGTAATTAGTACTGCTAGGGTTGGATCTGGCTGCTTGTGTCACGGTTACTGGCCAGACCAGGGTTTGATCTCGGCCAGTTATATGGTAATTAGTACTGCTAGGATTGGATCTGGTTCCATGTGTCACGGTTACTGGCAAGACCAGGGTTTGATCCTGGCCAGTTATATGGTAATTAGTGCTGCTAGGATTGGATCTGGTTCCATGTGTCACGGTTACTGGCCAGACCAGGGTTAGATCCTGGCCAGTTATATGGTAATTAGTACTGCTAGGATTGGATCTGGTTCCATGTGTCACAGTTACTGGCCAGACCAGGGTTAGATCTCGGCCAGTTATATGGTAATTAGTACTGCTAGGGTTGGATCTGGCTGCTTGTGTCACGGTTACTGGCCAGGCCAGGGTTCGATCTCGGCCAGTTATATGGTAATTAGTGCTGCTATAATTGGATCTGGTTCCATGTGTCACAGTTACTGGCCAGACCAGGGTTAGATCCCGGCCAGTTATATGGTAATTAGTACTGCTAGTATTGCATCTGGTTCCATGTGTCACAGTTACTGGCCAGACCAGGGTTTGATCCTGGCCAGTTATATGGTAATTAGTACTGCTAGGATTGGATCTGGTTCCATGTTTCACGGTTACTGGCAAGACCAGGGTTAGATCCCGGCCAGTTATATGGTAATTAGTGCTGCTATAATTGGATCTGGTTCCATGTGTCACAGTTACTGGCCAGACCAGGGTTAGATCCCGGCCAGTTATATGGTAATTAGTACTGCTAGTATTGCATCTGGTTCCATGTGTCACAGTTACTGGCCAGACCAGGGTTTGATCCTGGCCAGTTATATGGTAATTAGTACTGCTAGGATTGGATATGGTTCCATGTGTCACGGTTACTGGCAAGACCAGGGTTTGATCCTGGCCAGTTATATGGTAATTAGTGCTGCTATAATTGGATCTGGTTCCATGTGTCACGGTTACTGGCCAGACCAGGGTTAGATCTCGGCCAGTTATATGGTAATTAGTACTGCTAGGATTGGATATGGTTCCATGTGTCACGGTTACTGGCAAAACCAGGGTTTGATCCTGGCCAGTTATATAGTGATAGTGCTGCTATAATTGGATCTGGTTCCATGTGTCCGCGGTTACTGGCCAGACCAGGGTTAGATCCTGACGTTATATGGTAATTAGTACTGCTAGGGTTGGATCTGGCTGCTTGTGTCACGGTTGCCTTGTGAACCAGGGTTCGATCTCGGCCAGTTATATGGTAGTGAATGCTGCTATAATTGGATCTGGTTCCATGTGTCGCAGTTACTGGCCAGACCAGGTTAGATCGACCAGTTATATGGTAATTAGTGCTGCTATAGTGGATCTGGTTCCATGTGTCACGGTTACTGGCCAGGGCTTAAGGGTTTGATCGACCAGTTATATGGTAGTGGAGTACTGCTAGGATTGGATCTGTGGTTCCATGTGTCCGCGATTTACTGTAAGACCAGGGTTGGTCGGCCAGTTGCCATGGTAATTAGTACTGCTAGGATTGGATCTGGTTCCATGTGTCACGGTTACTGGCAAGACCAGGGTTTGATCCTGGCCAGTTATATGGTAATTAGTGCTGCTATAATTGGATCTGGTTCCATGTGTCACGGTTACTGGCCAGACCAGGGTTAGATCTCGGCCAGTTATATGGTAATTAGTACTGCTGGATTGGATATGGTTCCATGTGTCACGGTTACTGGCAAAACCAGGGTTTGATCCTGGCCAGTTATATGGTAATTAGTGCTGCTATAATTGGATCTGGTTCCATGTGTCACAGTTACTGGCCAGACCAGGGTTAGATCTCTGCCAGTTATATGGTAATTAGTACTGCTAGGGTTGGATCTGGCTGCTTGTGTCACGGTTACTGGCCAGACCAGGGTTCGATCTCGGCCAGTTATATGGTAATTAGTGCTGCTATAATTGGATCTGGTTCCATGTGTCACAGTTACTGGCCAGACCAGGGTTAGATCCCGGCCAGTTATATGGTAATTAGTACTGCTAGTATTGGATCTGGTTCCATGTGTCACAGTTACTGGCCAGACCAGGGTTTGATCCTGGCCAGTTATATGGTAATTAGTACTGCTAGGATTGGATCTGGTTCCATGTGTCACGGTTACTGGCAAGACCAGGGTTAGATCCCGGCCAGTTATATGGTAATTAGTACTGCTAGGATTGGATCTGGTTGCATGTGTCACGGTTACTGGCCAGACCAGGGTTAGATCTCGGCCAGTTATATGGTAATTAGTACTGCTAGGATTGGATATGGTTCCATGTGTCATGGTTACTGGCAAGACCAGGGTTTGATCCTGGCCAGTTATATGGTAATTAGTGCTGCTATAATTGGATCTGGTTCCATGTGTCACGGTTACTGGCCAGACCAGGGTTAGATCCCGGCCAGTTATATGGTAATTAGTACTGCTAGGATTGGATCTGGTTCCATGTGTCACGGTTACTGGCAAGACCAGGGTTAGATCCCGGCCAGTTATATGGTAATTAGTACTGCTAGGATTGGATCTGGTTCCATGTGTCACGGTTACTGGCCAGACTAGGGTTAGATCTCGGCCAGTTATATGGTAATTAGTACTGCTAGGATTGGATATGGTTCCATGTGTCACGGTTACTGGCAAGACCAGGGTTTGATCCTGGCCAGTTATATGGTAATTAGTGCTGCTATAATTGGATCTGGTTCCATGTGTCACGGTTACTGGCCAGTCCAGGGTTTGATCCCGGCCAGTTATATGGTAATTAGTACTGCTAGTATTGCATCTGGTTCCATGTGTCACAGTTACTGGCCAGACCAGGGTTCGATCTCGGCCAGTTATATGGTAATTAGTGCTGCTATAATTGGATCTGGTTCCATGTGTCACGGTTACTGGCCAGACCAGGGTTCGATCTCGGCCAGTTATATGGTAATTAGTGCTGCTAGGGTTGGATCTGGTTCCATGTGTCACGGTTACTGGCCAGACCAGGGTTAGATCTCGGCCAGTTATATGGTAATTAGTACTGCTAGGATTGGATATGGTTCCATGTGTCACGGTTACTGGCAAGACCAGGGTTTGATCCTGGCCAGTTATATGGTAATTAGTGCTGCTATAATTGGATCTGGTTCCATGTGTCACGGTTACTGGCCAGACCAGGGTTAGATCTCGGCCAGTTATATGGTAATTAGTACTGCTAGGATTGGATATGGTTCCATGTGTCACGGTTACTGGCAAGACCAGGGTTTGATCCTGGCCAGTTATATGGTAATTAGTGCTGCTAGGATTGGATCTGGTTCCATGTGTCACGGTTACTGGCCAGACCAGGGTTAGATCCTGGCCA